AATCTGCAAGAGCTTGTATTGATCCTATCCCAATGTCATATATTAATGTATTTTCGCAGCATGTTAAGAATCACCTAGTAACAACTATTCAGTTAGAGCCTCTAAAGCCATCTTATTTGAGATGGTATGACGTCAATACCACATGTGATTATCATAGAGGCAACTAACAGTTTATAAATTTAACATGATTTTTTATTCATTTTTTTGCCATAGAAAAATACAGTTTTCTCATAATGGTAACATAACCATGTTACCCTTATTTGAAGTTTATTTTACTAAATTTACTAATTCAAGTTAATCCTTCATTATTTTGATTAAAAAAATAAAATTAAAAAGTTGTCTATATTCAAAATAAAATTAAAAATCATATCAACTTTTATAATACTATTTAATATTATAAAATTTACCAACCTTTTATCAATACAATAATACCACAATATTTCAATAATTATTAATATGTTTTAAAAAATATCAAATATAAAGTTTTTTCAAAACAAATATAAATCTTATTCCTTATCAAACCCAAATTTAACATCAACTTAACATAAATTTTTTAATTTCTATATTTATTATTTGTAGATACCTAATTTTGCCTGGACAAAATTTAGCCATTTCTAAAACCCTTAAAATCCGACCTAGTTTAAATACAATATTTCTTCAATTTTTACGAGTTCTAAAAATTAAAATTAGGACCAATTTAATATAAATGCCTTAAAGTCAAACTTAGTCAAATTTGATCAAACAATATTTAAAAATTGGTTAAAATGGTCAAAATAGTTAGAAATCGAGTCAACTTTCAAAATTCACGATCAATTGCAATCAATGAGGTTTTAAATTGAAAATTTATGATTTCTAAAGCATCAAAAAGTCTAATTGCACTTTGAAAAGGGTAAAATTACTAAAATACCATTAAGAGTATTTTTGTAATTTATCTTTTCGAAGTCAAATTTTTGTGAAAACCTCCATATCATATAGAATATATTTTAATGAATTTTGATGCACTAGAAATCACAATCAAATTTTGATGCGTTTAGATTTTTAATGAATGTGTGAAAACTTCTATATCAATATTCCAAAGCACACCTTGAGAGGTGTGAAATTACAAAAATATCCCTAAGAGTATTTTTGTAAATTGACCTTCCCTATATCATAATTTCACTAAAAGATTTAGATCATGATTTAATATTTTTTAATATTTTTGAAATGCTGAAAACCTTGATCGTACCTTGGAATGTGTGAATCACTAAAACACCTTTTAATGGTATTTTTATAAATTAACCTTTCTAAAGTTGATTTTTTATGAAATATTTTAGATCATATTTTTATAATATTTCATAATTTTTGATGTATTGAAAATCTTGGCAGCACATCGGGAAGTGTGAAATTATTAAAATACTTTTTAAAGGTAATTTTATAATTTGACTTTTTTGAGATCGATTTTTCATGAAAATTTTTATATCTTAATTTCATATTGATTCATGATTTTTGGTGTTCTAAAATCACAAAAATGAATAAAGGAGCATTATTTTTCAAGAAGGCCTAAAAACTAAAAATTTTTTAATGAGGGGTCAAATGGCTTTTCACTTGGTTCAAACAGCATTAAAAATTTAATATTTAGCAGTTAGCATTCTCAACCATAGGATCATCTTGAGGAGCTTGATCAAATGGTGCAAGATGGCTCCTTGCAAAGAAAGCAAGGGATGAAAATGAACTATTAGATGCACCTCTAATCCAAGGGCCAATATTTAATTTTAAGAGATATTTTCATGCTCATTTGCTATGGGGATTTCACATTAAAAAGAAGAAGAAGGGAGTTGGAGAAAAAAAGGCAGAAAAAAAAAAGAGAAAAAAAGTGAAAGAAATAAGGAAAAAAAATAAAAAAAAATTCTTGAAAGCTTAGAGAATATATAATCCTTACTTGATTCTATTGCATTTTCCTTACATTTTTCATAACACTTTCATATTTGCTTCTTTACTTTAATTTTTTTCTTTAAAAAATGCTTAATTTTTTATGTTTTTAGCTTTAAATTTGATATAGAACCTCAATCAACTAATTCATAGTTTGATATGAGATAAAAAATCAAAAAAAGAAAACAAAATCCACCATTAAACACCATTGAGAGGTTCGACCAACCTCCATTTCATCATGGCTGAACCTCTTTTTAGTTTATTTTGATATTTATTTTATTTTAAATGATCTCCATAATGATTAGATGATTAGTTTGTCTGATATTTGTATGAATTTCTATTAGTTATTAGTATATAATTGGTTTTTGGCTTGTGTTTCTTGTTTATATGGCTTCCTTGCTATTTTTGTTCATTACATGTTTAATGAAATTGCTTTAATGGTATAAAGGCTTCATATGATGATTTTCCAAGTGATTGATACATGTTTGGATCGAATGAATGGTTGCAAGTTTGTGGAATGCCATGCCAAAGTTCAACTAAGCTACATTCCATGTTTGGCCAAACTTTCTTGCTTGAATGGTGGCTAAATATTGCTTGGTTCCTATGTGTTTTCATGAGATTTTGGTTTGATCATCAAGTTTACAATATGCTTGATTTAATTTCAATGAATAAATTGTTGTTTTGGTAGCTTGTTTGATTACTTTTTATGATTAATTGCATGAGTTTTCAAAAAAAAAAAAATGGTGGAACATGTCTTCAAATTTTGAAAAATTTTAGTGTTTGATCCATTTTTCTCATGTTTTCACATATATATCTTATTTGTAATTTAGTTTTATGAATGCCTTGATTTATAATTAGTTTGTTCTCTTATCATGCACATGTGACATGTATCAAATATTTACATTTTTACCAATGGCATTGTTATAATTTATTGATCATATGCATTTTCTCATGAAATAACCCTAAATCCTAAAACCCTAAAATCAACCCTTAACCACATTCATGAATTTACAACATATTTTATCTTGTTACATGCATTCATACTTTGTCATTCATATTCAATCATCATGCATTCATATTATTATTATGTTCATGCATATATGCATTGGTTTTATAAATAAAGTTTATTTCAAAGAAAAATATTTTTAAATTAGATTACATCTCGAATAAAAAATAACCTTCAAGTTTCGGTTTAAATATATGGTGACTCTCGATAGTTATCATTTATACGAGGTGTTATTTTGATTTTGTGAAACAAATTAAAAATCCTTAAGTTATAAATATTATTAAACCTCTACCTAAATATAAAAGAGTGGAAAAGATATATCAATACTTAGGAAATTTTCATTTTGATAAAAAAAAAAAGTTATTTCATTTTTCAAAAGAAAACAATTAAAATTGTTTTGCCTTTAGAAAAAAAAAACAAAGATTTGTTTTTTTTTTTAGACTAAAAAAAAGGAAAAAGAAATTAATCTTAAATATTAGAATATGACCATTTTAACCAAAGTTTAAAGATAAAATACAGTTTAATTCATACCTTCTTCAATGAGTGCTATGAAAGTACTAATTCTTCCCTATGCGTAACTGACTCTTGAATCTTAAATCTAATTTCACAGACCTCAATTTGTTCTTTTTATAAAACTTTTAAATCTTTTAAATGTTTTATTAAAAAGGATAAAAATTTTTAGGTGACTAATCACACATAAAAAAAAGATTGGTGGTAACTCTTTATTTTGATTTTTATCGAAAATATTTTTTAAGCCCACCTGTTTTTCTCAATCCCCATTCGTCCAACAATCAAGCACTTTTTGGTCTCGAAATGTCACGATATTATTAAAATTTAAAAAATATTAAATATAAAATATCCATAAAAAATATAAATCTTAATACATATCAAACCCAAATTTATCGTAAAATCAATATAAATCATACATATCTAAAAATTAATAAAACCTAAACAAATCTCAACAATATTCAACAAATAAAAATATTCAACAATACTAAAAAAAAAAAAACCAACAAAAATTAACAATACTAAACAAAAAATCCAACAAAAATTAACAAAAAGTTTAACCTAACAAATCTCAACAAATCTATAATAAGAAATTTAATAATAAACGTAACAAATAAACAATAAAATACTTGAAAAAAGAATAAATAAATTAATTATCGACAAAAGAAGGAGATATTGGTTGGCTCGTGACTTCCTCGTTGGTGGGGAGAGAGAATAGGGATTTGGGAGTGGAAAATTTTAGGGAAAATGGATTTTCACGATTCTAGGAAAGGGGTTTGAAATTTATTCAGATTTTTTGACGGATTATCAATAAAATTTTCATTAGTAATCATTAATTTTTTTTTTGCAAATTTTTTTACTAACAAAAAATTTCATTTGTAATTTTTGCCGTAAATGGCGCTATTTTTTACTTACGGATTATTGAAAGAATTTAATCCATCGGTAATCCGTCGATGATGGTCAATATTTTTATAACTACATTCTATCAATAAAAATTTCATTGATAAAATTTCATCAATAATGCCAATATTTTTTATAGTGTTCAAATTAAGGATAAATTTGAATTTGAATTTGAATTGAATGAATTGACTTTTTTATAAATCATATCAATCGGGTTTGAATTTGGATGGTTGAGCTTGTTTTTCAAATTCGAGTAAGTTTTGACTGCATTATAAGGCATAATAGTTGTTAAATCACACATAAAGCCTTAAATTACATAGGTAAATATTTTTAAAAATTTGATAAAAGCCCAAAGTTTAGTCTTGATATAAGGATAGAAATAATTTTTTTAATGGCGATAAGATAAATTTACGATTGAACACTTTCTTGCCCTAACTTTATTCAAATATATACAAAGAAAGAAAAAATTAAAGTCCAAAATAAGAAAAAAAAAAAAAAGGTAAAAAACTTCAATGTTTGGCATTCGATTGTTAAGAAACGAATTTTATCTATAAGTAAAAAAAAAAAGGCAAAACAAAGAAGTATATATGCTTATATTAGATTTATACGAGTAACAATTACGGATAAAAGAGAAATAAATAATAAATTTTTTTTTCATATGTTATAGTTGAAGATTATGAACAAGATTAGTCTAAACTATAAATGGGAAAACAATTTAAGCCTCCCAACTTATAGCATAAAAAAATGATTAAAATTCAAAGGCTGGCCTTAGATCTCTCCTATGCACAACTCAGCTTCTAAACCACAAAATCTTCCTTGAGGTTTGGAATATAGCATTGTTTATTCAATTTCACCAACTTTGGACCCTCTTCCTTTAATAATTTTCTATCACCAACTTCTTCTATTCTTGGCATTTGAGGCCAACGTTGTCCCTTGTTTCTTCCGGCTCTCTTCATCCCCCAAAAACAAAGAAATCATCATAACCAAAGAAAAGAGGCAGCTCATGCTATCAAACAATTGCAGCTGAAGCCTCTCCTGATTGCTTAGCCACCATTTCCAAATTGTAGCGATGCTAATGGGCGCGCGCATAGCTAGGCTTGTGCGCACACCAAATCCATCGTTAGTTCTTGCGCTTGTTTCTTTGTTATCATTGGTCGTTGTCTCATTTGGTGATACGGATACTGAGATCCTCTTAACCTTTAAGGACTCGTTAGCAAACCCTTCAGCTCTTAGCAATTGGAATGCTTCTATTCATCCATGCAAGGGGGATCGAGCAAATTGGATCGGTGTGCTTTGCCTAAAGAATAAAATATGGGGCTTGCAACTAGAAAACATGGGCCTAGCAGGGTTGGTGAATATTGAAATTCTTGATACATTGCATACAATGCGCACTATAAGCCTTATGAACAATAATTTTGAGGGTACAATGCCTGACATAAGGAAACTGGGTGCGTTAAAGGCTTTGTATTTGTCAAATAATCGTTTTACAGGGGAGATTCCTGATGATGCATTCCAAGGGATGAGATCCTTGAAGAGATTATTTTTGGCTAATAATGCTTTCACTGGAAAAATTCCCTCGTCGCTAACCACCTTGCCTAAACTTATAATCTTGAGACTGGAGGGAAATCAATTTGGTGGCCGAATACCTGATTTTAACCCCAAGGTTGTGAAGGTGGTGAACTTGGCTAACAATCAATTCGAGGGTCCCATCCCTGCAAGCTTAAGCAAAATGGGTGCAAGCATGTTCTCAGGTAGTCGTTACATACATTTATAATGTTGTTCATGCCAACTAGTTTTAATTATCCTGAAGGTTTTCAAGTGAAACCATAATTATGATAGACTCATTTCATCATAGGGTGGTAATGTTAGCATAATGTCATCATTTTTAAGTTTGACAACCTTTTTACGTTAATTTTGTTAGGGTAAACCTCATATACACCTTTTGTAGTTTGTGATTTTTTCACCCTTGTGAAAATTTTTTTCACTTATAATCTTGTAGTTTACTTTCGTTACCAAAAAAGGGTAACTACATTAAAAATAAAAGTGAGGATAATTTTGTAATTTTAATTAAATTTGATTGATTTTTAACGTCGTTATTCTTTTCTGGTTAAGGAAATGAACTACTCATAAGTGAAAAAAAAAAAAAAATACCAAGTAGGAAAATCACAAATTACATGTGAAGTATGTGGAATTTACCCTTTTTTATTGAAAAACCAGTCATTCAACCTGGATTCCTCTTTGAGTAAGGGATACACGTTTAGTATTTATTTTTATGTATATTATCTAAAATTTGGTTGATTGTTATTTTTAGTATTATTTATTTATCTTGCAAAAATAAAAAGTTGCCAAGTGAGTTTGAATATAAGTAAGAGTAGCTTAGGATGTGTTACTAGGATTGCTCTCTGTCAAAGTACTCTGACTAGTTAACGGATATTACTGATCTAGTAAAACTTCTATTTTGGCTGAGCAAAAAAAAAAAAAAAAGTAAGAGTAGTTTAAATAATTAAAATTGAAAGAAGTAATGCCACTTTAATACTGAACAAATATAATTGTGTCACATTTTCATAGTTGGTTTTTTGTAATAAGTGTTTTTAATCATTTTCTTTTAATCTATACATAAATTTTAAAAAATAAAATAATAAAAGCAATAATCAAAATTGATCATCTCAATTCATTCTCTTTATAGATTGACTGATCTGTTTGTTGTGACGCAGGAAATAGAAATCTCTGTGGGCCACCTCTCCAAGCATGCCCTTTAACCAGTCCTCCACCTAGCCTCCCACCAATCCCCTCAGCCAACCCCCAACTTGTTTCCCCTAAAAATACATCATATGGTTTGAAAGTTGCTTTGATTGTGGTATCAATAGTGTTAATACTCGTGATCATTGCAGCACTTATTTTCATTCTCTCCATGAGGAAACAACAATCTAAAGAATTACAGGAAACAAATCTTCAAGACTCAAACAAGGTGGCAGCTTACAATGAAGGGGAAAAGAAGGTATCAGAGAGTGGTGGAATGATGAAAAGGTCTGAATTAATATTCTTGAAAGATAATATCGAGAGGTTTGATTTGCAAGATCTATTAAGAGCCTCAGCCGAGGTTCTTGGGAGTGGGAATTTTGGAGCTTCATACAAGGCCGTCATAATGAATGGCGAAACAATGGTGGTGAAGAGGTATAAGCAAATGAACAATGTTGGGAGGGAAGATTTTCATGAGCACATGAGAAGATTAGGAAGGTTGAATCATCAAAATTTGCTGCCTCCCGTGGCTTATTACTATAGGAAAGAGGAAAAGCTGTTGGTGTCCAAGTTCATGGAGGATGGTAGCTTGGCTAGTCATCTTCATGGTAAGTTTTCCATCCTTAGATTTGAAAATACTAGCTTGTTGAAACTGGAGCTTAGCTCACTTAGTTTATATAACTACTCTAAAGAGGTGGCACTCAGGAGATCTGGAATTTGAATTCCAGCAACTGCAATCCCGACCTCTTATATACCAAAAAAGAAAATGCTATCTTGTTCACTGATAAAATTTGCCTATGGTTGTCACGAAAGAAATATTGATTATCAGACCTTTTACCACAAATTTTCCTTTGCTAAGCATTTTCTGTTTAATTGTGTGGAAATTAAGTATTACATCCAACTGCTAACTCGAGTTCTTTTACTCTTGTTTTGTCCAGCCAACCATACTCTAGATAAACCTGGACTAGATTGGATGACCCGGTTGAAGATCATAAAGGGTGTAGCCAGGGGTTTGACTTATCTCTACAATGAACTTCCGAGCCTAATTTTGCCCCATGGTCATTTGAAATCTTCCAATGTGCTTCTAGACGAGACCTTTGAGCCTCTATTGTCTGATTATGCTTTAAGACCAGTGATAAACCAGGAGCAGGCTCACCTGCTCATGACTGCTTACAAATCACCAGAGTATGCTATGAACGGCCGCATAAGCAGGAAGACTGATGTGTGGTGCCTAGGTATACTTATCTTGGAGGTCTTAACTGGTAAGATTCCAGAGAACTATCTAACCGCACGTTATGATAGTAATACAAATTTAGCGACTTGGGTCAATGAGATGGTTAAGGAGAAAAAGACCGGTGAAGTTTTTGACACAGAGATGTCAGGAACAAAGAACAACAAAGGTGAAATGATAAATCTTTTAAAGATTGGACTAAGCTGTTGTGAAGAGGATTTGGAGACAAGGCCGGAGTTGAAGGAAGTTGTGCAAGAGATTGAACAGCTGAGAGAGGGAGATGATGATGACGATGAAGAATTCTCTTCAACCATAGGTGAAGTGAATGCAATTATCTCTAGAGGAAACGTGAAGGATGAATCATTTTTCTCCTTTAATCGTTAAGCAGGACTACAAATTAAGGGAGTTTAACGTGGAAAAAATTTTAGATGAAATTGTTTAGGTGAAGTTGGTGAAGTTCTTTAATATAAACAATTCAATTAAAACTTTCATAAAAAAAATTCAAATAAATAAATTGATAGAGTTTAATAAATAAATAAATAATATGTAAAAAAAAAATTATTGGAAATATCATTTATAATTAAAAAATATCTAAAAAAGACTATCTCAAAAATATATCAAAATTTATTAAATTTCTGTTAAATTTTATACATTTTATCTATGTAATAAGATTTTTTAATCTCTTAATTTTGATTTTCAATTTTAATTTTTATTTAATCATTTTTATTTCAAAATTTCATGAATTTCACTTAAAGAATTTCATGTAAGTCTTCTCATATAATGGGAACGTGAGAATGCCCACTTATGGGTTTCAAATTCCCATAGATTCTTGAAGAACATGATTTTCTATGAGTTAGCTTTCTCCATATGTAAAATGAGAACTTGGCTGGGCTGCAAATGTAGACATGGAGGTTCGTTCATTCCAATGTTGGTGAAAAATGTTGCTTTAGTTGATAGAAAATTCTTCTGAAGTTCACCATAAAGGAAAAATAAAAGGAGCAAATATTTGTTCCTACCTCTTTTTTTTATATATATTAGTAATTAATAATTATCATACTTTCGCTCAATAAATTTTCAAAACCACATGCTAAAATAGATATGCAAAATATAAAATAGAACGAAATCAAAAGCAGAAGGCTATTAATCACATATGTCGAATAAACAAGTGGTTTCGAATTAATGATAGCTCATATATCATCTATATAAAAGTGTAAATTTCAAAAGCGTTAAAATGATCGGTTAGTATATTTTTAATAAAATTTTAATTTTTAAAATATTAAAAAAGAGTGCTTAAAATACCTTTAATAATTTTTTTTAATAAATTTTAATTTAAATGATTTTTTATTATTAACTTATTTATTATTACATTCTCATTTATTAAATTTTAATTTAAACAATATTTTACTATTAAACTTTATTATTATTTTACGTATGTTTTATTTTTTATCATTATTAATTTAATAATTTTGTTATTAGTTTTAATTTCATATTAAATTTATTGGAATTTAAAAAAATAATTATCTTACTATATATTAAATTTATTGATTGGAGTATAGAATGTGAGTTCAGCCAAAAACGCATTCAATAATCGACTTCATATTTTTTCTATGGATTATTAAGGGCGTTTTTCTGTAAAAAAAACGCCTTTAATATTTTTTGCAAAATTTTTTAAAACCATTGATGAAGGCGTTTTTGTCAAGAAAACGCTTACAATAATCAATTATAAATAATCCGTACAAAAACTAAAAAAAAAAACTAAAGGAAGGGATCGAATCTACAACCTTATGATTAACATTCGTACGATCCAAACATTTTGATATGATATTTATTGAAAGCATTTTTTTAACAAAAACGACTTCAATAAGCATGTAAAATTTTTTGATCTAATTATTAAAGACGTTTCTTGTAGAAAATACCTTCAATAATCTTAGATAATTTTTTATTAGGTGATTATTGAAGACGTTGTTTGTTAAAAACATGCTTTTAGTATTCACTAAAATTTTTAAGACATGATTATTCAAGGTGTTTTAATCGAAAAACACCACTGATATCAAGTCTTTGGTAGTGTTTATAAATAACAACGTCGCTATTTGAATATTTAGTGACATTTTAATAATAAATCTCTTAAGTTTTATAAAAACACGAAAGCTAGCGGCATTTGTAAATGAATGGCCGCTACAAAACTATTGCTAATACGTTATTTTCTAGTAGTGTATTAAAATAGAGGTTTAATAAAAAAATTATCAATTAAAATAGAGGTTTAATAAAAAAAATTATCTTTAAACAGATATTATTTTCATTATTTATTCCTATTTTATAAATCTATTTTTATATATAGTTAAATTTATTTAATATAAACTTAAAAAAAATCAAAAGTCAATTAAATGCTTTATTAAATTGTATTGCTAAATTTTAAGAGATGCACATATATATAACATATCTTTCATATAAGACTTTTTATTCACATGGTAATTTTCTTCAAATTAACAAACATTAATAGTGAATTTGTTATTTATTTGAATACAAGCAAATATACTTATTTTTTATTATTTAAAAGTGTGAACTCCAAAAGTGTTAAAAATTATTTATTTCTTAATATAATTATTCTAAATAGAGAATTATCAAGCGAAGTAAGATTTTTTTTTTTGTTATTCTTGTAAGGTGTGATCAAAATCATTGAAACCATTTTTTGAATATATTGATACCAATGTTACATTTTTTTTGTCACCACCAATGTTACATTCATTCATAAAAATTTATGTTGTTAATATTGAAAATTGAATCATTATAAATTGTATAGTTGTTATATAACAAATTTGTTAATTTGAGAATTAGAATTTCCTTAAAAAAATTGACAAGTACCAAGATTAAGAATTTATTTTATTTCATTTTAATTTCTAAAATGATGTATTTTAATATTTTTATTTAATTAAAATTTTCAAAAAAAAAAAAAAGCTTTTAATTGTTGGAATGTACAACTACATTCAATCAATGAAAGCACCAATGGAAGATTATATGATCAAGCAAAAATTAAGATGAAAGATTGATGGATTATGCATAGCTCTATCTTCTCCATATAATAAATAATGTTAGTTCTATATAATATTTCAATGAAGAATACACAAATATATTAATTTCAAATTTTATAGGATTAATATGAAACTCTTTTATTAGGAGAAACATTATATACTCCTCTGTTTTCTCCATTGTATCAGTTAAATAATGTTCATTGTTGTATTAAAAATTTTAAAGTTACCATATTAGGTAATATTTGTTTAAAGGTATTAAAATTCATCAAATTAATTATCACTATTAAATTTAATATAAAAATATTAGGCTAAAAAAAAACCCTTGAACTTTATCACGTTATTTAGATAAGCTCATCTAATTTTGTTGTATCTAAATAAACCTATAACTTTTAATTTGCACTTAAAAAAACCCTTAAATTTTAATTTGCATCCAAATAAATCTCTAATCTTTAATTTGTACCTAAATTAGTCTTTCACATAAATCAATATTGAGTTTGAAATAAAGGCTTATTTAAATATAAACCAAAAGAGAATAGCTTATTTTGGTATAATAAAAATATAAGAGTTTATTTTGAAAAATGAAATATTATTATAAAGTATAATTTAACTAAAGGCATTCATTAGCAAAAGTCATTTGATAAATCTTTATTTAATTATGTATTTAGTAGTTCAATAATTTTAAATTTTTTAAATAATTTTGACTAGAGTTTTAAACTTAAAATCAATGATAAATTAGGTTGAGTTGAGTTTTATCATCTACTGTTATTTATAATATATTCAATTATTATCTAAGTAAATTTGACTTAATAATTGGTATAAGTTTATCTTTTTTAGAAAAATCTGGATTCAAATCACCTTAAATATAAATAAAAAAAAAGTATATTCAATTACTTATAATTATAATTTCAATTAAAAATTATTTTTAAAAATTAATTAACTAATTTTACCAAAAAAATAAAAAATAAGACATTAAAAATGAAGGAAAAATGTTTAAATAAGGAACATTTAAATTATTACATAAGATAAATAGAAAATATTGGATTATGATTGGATTATTATGTATATTCAATTTGAGTTTTGAATTATTTCAAATTTAAGTTAATTAATCATGTTACTTTTAGTCATACTTTTATGACACTTATAATATATTTCAAAATAAAATGATAACACAACACAATAAAAATTTAAGTGCAAAAGTTATAGAAACCCTAATGATAATTTTAAAAGAAAATCTTTATACCTAAGTTTTACAGAGATTAAAGAATATATCTTCTTCTGAGGATATTTAAATTCATATTATAAAAATATTTATTTAAATCAACAGGTTTATAATCGTTTATTTATTGTTCAAGTTGCTACTATATAAGTTAAGGAAAATAACTCAAAATTTCATTTAAAAAGATATTATAATTCATACTCATTCAGGAAAATAATATAAAGTTAAGCATTATATGGGTTGTTTATAACTCATTGCTATATTTTTTACTCTTTTAAAATAGAGAAGTTGGTAGGAATTAAAATATCAAGAAAGTCATTTTAAATGATGGTAAAAAGAATAAAGCAACAATTGCAAATCTTTTATCTTTTTGTTTAATAGGATAAATTTTTGGAAAGAAAATGTGAAGGTAATTATCGTGAACTTAATATATTTTTAAAATGTTGTCTGTTTATTTTTATAAATTTTATTTAATAAATTTTCACTCATTACTTTTATCATATATATAACAAAAATTTTACTCAAAATTATATACTTAAAATATAAATATAAGGCAAAGTTTATTAATTTCATTATTGTTAAAAAAATTCAAAATTTTTAATTTTTTATATGCAATTTTACTTCGCCAATAGGTGTGAAAATACATACACTAATCATTGAATCAAATCATCAATAATACTTATCTTAATATGTACAATTTTACTATGAGTTAAAAAATTTTAAAAAATATCTTAGAAATATTGACTTAATATATATTGGATATATTTATTTAATTTAGTTTGATACTTGCATTAGTATAATAAGTTATGATTTTAACTTATAATTATGTGTTAAACTACAAATAGCAAATTAAGAGTATTTACTCATTGCTTTTAAAGTCATCTGCAATTAAACTTTCTTACTTACTTTCTTTACTTTACAAAATTACATCATATAGCATACATTGTAGTTGCTTTCCTTTTTGTATATACACAAATCAACAATAATATAATATTATATAATTAATAACTTATTAATTAATCATTGAAATATTAAAAGTAATTAGTAAACAATAATAACTATCCATAACTTAATAATTAATTAGTAATAATTTAATAGTAAATCAATGAATAATTTAGCATAAATTAGTTATAACTTAATAGTTGATAATTTAATAGTCAATAATTGATGACTTAGTTGTAAATCAATAATAACATATAGTAATTGTCTAATAATTTAGTAGTATGCATAACAACAAAGTAGTGAATCAAGAATAACTTATTAAAAAAAAAGTGATAACTTGATAGTTAATCAATGATAATTTAGTAATAAATTAATAGAAACTTAATTGTAAATTAGTGATAATTTGATAGTAAATCAATTTTGGTTTAATAGTAATTAATTGATAGTAATGAATTATAAATAAGTTAGTGGTAAATCAATAATAACTTAATGATAAATAATTGATAATTTAGAAGTTAATTATTGAAAATTTAAAAGTAAATTAATAGAGTATTAATCATTGATACTTAATAATAAATTATAGAAAATTTAGTAATAAATCCATAATAATTTTGTAGTAAATAATTAAAAAATAAATATTAAATTAAAATAATATAATAGTAAATAAATAATAATACAATACTAAATCATTGATAATTTAGGAGTAAATTATTGATAATTTAGTAATAAATTGATAACTTAATACTAAATCACAAATAATATGGTAATAAATTACTAATAACTTAGTTGTAAATCAATGATAATTTAATAGTAAATTAGTTAATTAATGACAACTTTATAATATGTAATCGATAAATTAATAGTAAATAAGTAATAAATTTATAATAAATAATTAATAACTCGATAGTAAATTATCAATAATTTAAAAGTAAATCATTTATAACTTAATAGTAAATTATTTATAATTTAATGGTAAATTATTTATAAATTAATATTAAATCGTGGATAAATTAGTAGTAAATCATTGATTTCCTAGTAGCAAATCACTAATAATATAATAGTAAATTAATGATAAATTAATTATTAATCATTAATAACTTTTTTATACTTAAAGTTTCAAGAATTGAACCCTAATTACTAGTAACAACGAAACCAGAACTTTCATTTTAGGGATTAGGATAAATCTACCATAAATCTATTTAATAAAAAAATTTAGTCAAAAAGTTTAAATTTGAATGAAGTAATAATATTATTATATAAAAAAATTATCTCATATATTTTTAGTGGACTTTTTAAAATCTATATCTTATAGTTATAAATGAATAATAATATATTGGTAAATTGAGGATAATTTAATAAAAAAAAGTCGTAATTTAGTAGTTAATCATTGATAACTTAGTAATAAATTAATGATGACTTATTAGCTTAGGTTTATTGTAATTAATTAAAAAATCATAAATAACTTAGTAGTAAATCATGAATAATTAAGTTGTTAATCATTGAAAACTTAATAGTAAATTAATATAACTTAGTAAATCATCAATAAATTGATAGTTAAGTGATAATTTAATGATAAATTATAAATAATTTAATATAGTTAATCATTCAAATTTATTTAAACTCGAATGGGTCAAAATTCAAAATAGCTCATATTCAAAATGATCCTCCAAATTTGAGATGATCAAATCTGCAACTGAATAAATCTTGTACAGTTTGAATATAAAAGAATTCAAATACGAGACAATCCAAATTTAAAATAAATTTGAATATGAAATTAATTGAATGCAAAATCAAATTAATTAATCCAAATTCATCCGAACCTGTGTGTTTGCCACCTTTGTACATACTATATAGACTAAAAAGAAAGAAAACAATCCATCCTTCGGATGTCCATTAATTCATATGGAATACTAAACCATTTCTTGAGTAATTAATTACCAACCGTTATCTCATTTTATCTTGACTTAGTATAGTACAAATATCGTACATCTTTTTTTCCTATATTATGGGAAGGGAATTTCGACCGTTGGAAACAAAAACAAAGAAGGAGAAGAATTTTAGGCCTCTTCTTCTTTTTTTTCTTACTCAGTTTTGTTAATTTAATTCCCATTTGCCTATACACAATTCTCGGTCAAATACTTCTAATTTTTGAGGCTTCTATTTGATAACCAAAATAGAGAAAACTAAAAGTAACATGATAAATGGAGATAATAAAAGGCAATGCATGGTCAAAGTCATGGCATAGATATTCCAGGGAGAGAGGTTTTGGGCCTCTCAAACTAGAAAATTTTGAATCTTCAATTTTCATTCTCAGGGTGACTTCGTACATTTTGTCTAAAAGCTTTTTGAAAGGAGAGAATTCAGAAAGGAAAAAGACAGAAAATGTGGAATCAAAAGGGATATTTTACTTCTACGAAGAAAGCAGTAGGAAATGGGCTGGTAGCTGTAGCCCTTGACAAGGATAAAGGGAGCCAACATGCTCTCAGATGGGCTGTGGAGCATCTTCTTTCAAGAGGCCAAACTGTTGTTCTTATTCACGTTGTTCATAAATCAGGAGCAATTATACACGGACCACGTAACTCTCAGTCAATTACATTTTCAATTCTTGTGCTTCAAATCGTTCAATTCTTATTCAAGTTTATTCTGGTGCAGATAATGGTCATGGTAGTGAAACAAGTTCACCTATATCAAACAAACAGATGATGGAAAAGCTATCCAAGGAATTGTTTCTCACCTTCCATTGCTTTTGTACTCGAAAAGACGTAAGTTTATCAATAGAACGCAGCCCTTTGAGCAGCTGCAACGATTTCTATCATATGATATACGATTTCACATCATATTATGTATCTTTCTGGAGACAGAACAAATCCTTATTCCTCTTGACATTTGTTAACTTTGTTGTTTTTCATCACTCTTTGCTTCAAATTGTTCAGTACTAGAATTCAAATGTTATTTGATTTGGAGTGACTCGGTCTCCTGTTTGTTGTCATTTACACCAGATACATTGCATTGATATCGTACTTGAAGATTCAGATATTGTAAAAGCATTGACAGAATATGTTTCTTATGCTGGAATTGGGAAATTGGTTCTTGGTGCTCCATCTCGAAGTGGATTTATGAGGTATCTGCTCCTTGTTTCAGGTTTAATATTCAGACAAAAAGGTTTTGATAGGATCATGATCAAAGTGAGAATTCAACATGATTGTCCTCACATGGGAAAGCCGATTTTAAACTCTAAATAACTACAAGTCTGTCTGAAATGAGAAACAAAACATTGGTCTAGGATTAGCTTCATTCATTTTTGGTACGAAGATTTTCTGTCGCAATGGCTAATTGGCTTCTTTTCTCTGAGCAATTGCATCTGCACCAAACAAATTCTGACTCTAACAACTCCAGTTTTAATCAGGCCATCTAAGCCATATTTGCATGGTGGCCTTGTGGTTATCATGCGGCATATGAAACCATACAGATAAGAGTAGGCAAACACAGCAATAAAAGAAAGGTTAAATTTTTTTAATTCTAGGAGAATAATAGATGTCGAAGAAATATGTAAAAACTGGTAGTTGAAACTTGTTCATAGTCCAACAGATGTAGAAATGCTGCTTTAATAAGCTTTCGTGTAGCAAGTGTAATAACACCTTACTGTTGAAACTGATTAGCTAAAGATACTTGGGCACTTCAACATTGAAATTCTTGCTTGGAGATGTCATTGAGGGACTAATGGTTTTTGTTACGCAGAAAATTCAGGGCTGATATTCCAAGCTGTGTCACGAAAGCTTCACCAGACTTCTGCACTGTATATGTCATTTCCAAAGGAAAGGTCTCTTCAGTACGAAATGCGTCTCGTACAGCTCCACACTCCTCTCCCCTACTTGATCAAATTAAGAAACAAAATGCCGGTTCTGTTGAAAAGCAATCCCTACCTAGTGCTGACTCTGTAAAAGCAGGTTTGTTTGTTTCCCCCATACAGTAATGTCCTTTCAGTTAGTTTACTGATGGACTAACTGAAAATCTTGAATATGCAGCTGATAGGACTATGGTCAAACCTTATTCTTCAATTGAGACAATGGTCAAGCCTCGTACTTCAATTGACATGGGTACAAAGTAAGCTGATTTCTTACCATATAATTGCAGTTACAAGTATAAAACTTTTATTTTAACGAACTTAAAAGTTTGAAAGTGATACTAATTAACCATCATCTTTACAAAAAAAATCAGGACACAATTCCCCCCTACAAGACCCAGTCTCATGACAGCGTTTGGGGATTTCTCAGAATCGGATACTGATATATCATTTGTCAGCTCCGACAGACCAAGCACTGACCGTAACTCTTCTTTGTTCTTCGATTCATTTATCGATTCTAGCCGAAATTCGCGGCTATCAAGCAGCACAGATCAAAGCATAGGATCAATGCGTTTAGGAACCAAGTGGAATGACCATATTTCTCCACAAAACTTCTCATCAATTTCACAGGAAAGCGGAAGATCATCTTGTTCATCTCAGAATCTGGTACGTTAATCACCATGTCTCATATGGAAACTAGCTTTGCATTAAATTAGTCACCAGGTTCAAATCATTTCTTATCCTTGCACATTTTGAAGATAAGAACATAAAATCCAGCACCATTTCTGTAACTGTTAAAAGTTTTAATCCAATATTCTTGGCATGTTAGTACCAGTCATAGCTGGCCAAAATGAATTTTTTGCTTATTTGGTCTGCTAACAAACAGGAGGAAGTGGAAGCTGAAATGAGGAGACTAAGACTAGAATTGAAGAAAACAATGGACTTGTATGGTAATGCATGTAGAGAAGCCCTTTCAGCAAAACAACAGGTAAATGCAAGTTATCATTTAGTACTCCCTCTTTGAATCTTTTGAATTGTAGAGACTAGTTGTAATAAGATATTTAAGTTAGGCAATGCAGCTCAATCGTTGCAAAAATCAAGAAGAACGAAGATTGGAAGAGGCACGACTAGCTGAGGAAGCTGCAATGTTAACTGTAGAAGAAGAGAGGGCTAAGTGCAAGGCAGCCATAGAAGCAGCTGAATCAGCACACAAACATACAGATTCACAAAGAAGATTGAATTTAGTAGGAGAAGCCCTAAGAGAAACTGTGGAAATGAAGACGATGTTAGACACTCTATCCGATAGTCATATCAAATACAGAAGATATACCATCGAGGAAATTGAAGAAGCAACAGATAGCTTTGCCCAATCTCGAAAGATTGGAGAAGGAGGTTATGGTCCTGTCTATAGGTGTTATCTTGATCATACACCAGTTGCAGTTAAGGTTTTACGTCCAGATGCTGCACAAGGGAGATTACAATTTCTGCAAGAGGTAAGAAACTAATAGTATTGATTAGGGAATTCTTAAAAGACATGTAGTATCTGAAGTTCTTGGACGACCCAGATTGTTATTCGCGAAACCAGAAAAACAGAAAGAATTTTGAACCAAACAACATAGGCTTTCCGCTTCCCTCCACAAGATTGTTAGAAATGTCTAGTTGACTTGAAAAAGCCTTGGTAGATGAGGCTTGCTCATACTCCATGGTTTCCTATACATTCTCTCATGACCAAACTTGTCTGAAAATTTTAACATCTTGCTGTGCAGATTGAAGTACTTAGCTGCATCCGCCATCCTAACATGGTCCTTCTTCTAGGTGCCTGCCCAGAATATGGTATTCTAGTCTATGAATACATGGCTCATGGAAGCTTAGATGACTGTATATTTAGGAAAGGGAACACCCCACCTCTGTCTTGGCAACTCAGGTTCCGAATAGCTGCTGAGGTTGCTACAGGCCTGCTTTTTCTGCATAATGCAAAGCCAGAGCCAATTGTGCACCGTGACCTTAAGCCTGGCAACATTTTGCTCGATCATAACTATGTTAGCAAGATTAGCGATGTTGGATTAGCCAGGCTTGTCCCTGCTGTTGCCGAGAATGTGACACAGTTCCGCATAACTTCAACAGCTGGAACATTTTGCTATATTGACCCCGAGTATCAGCAAACAGGAATGCTGGGCGTAAAATCTGATGTATATTCCTTAGGGATCTTGCTTCTTCAACTGATAACGGCCAAGCAACCTATGGGATTGACTCACTACGCTGAGCTAGCAATCGAGAAGGGCACATTTTTTACAGAGATGCTGGACCCTGACGTGCATGACTGGCCACCCGAAGAAACATTGTCTTTTGCAAAGCTGGCACTAAAATGTGCAGAACTCAGACGGAAAGACAGGCCTGATCTTGGCAATGAAGTCCTAACAGAGCTTTGCAGACTAAGAGAATTTGCTGAAGAGCAAATGGCCCCTTTCCTTTTTGCTGGCTGTGCCGGACCTTCCCCTAACCACAGCCAAGCTTCTGTTTCAGATGTGAGTACTTAAATATTCTGAATCACAAAGCACAAGCACAAGCATCTTTAAAAGCAGATATCCAATAAGTCTAAAATTCGAATTCCACCAGCAATCTCTTTCTCTATCTCCAATCTACTTTATAAATATAACTACATATATATATATATATATATATATATATATATATATATATACCAGTTCTATTTGGGGTAATCTAAACCATATGCCTTTACTTTGAATCTTTGGAAAGAAGAGTAAAAGTAATAATAACAATGAAATAATACTTTTTCATTTTTACACCTGAAATCAAGGATTGGCATATTGATGTTACTTTTTTTTCTTTTTCTTGCAGAGTGATCCTATTATTTTAAATTCTGCTAGTTCAAGCAGTCAATTAAGCTCAACATCACTGACAGAAGCATGATCAGATAAAGATTAAGGAACAATCTGGACGTAAAGGAGGAATATATGTAATAATAATAGGATTAAACTTAAGACAATTCTGAGTCGTTTGAAGAAAGCTAGCAGAAGGATATGTTATTAGATTCCCATGCAGCAGCTAGATCAATGTGTTTGCTTAAGGTGTTGGCATCAAGAGCCATTGAACTAAGACGGTTTCTGCCAGCTTAATGTTTTTTTGTTGTTTTTCCTTGTAAATATATCGGGAAATCAGCAAATAACAAATGTAATTAACTACAAAAGTTTTTGGGAAAAAAATGTAATTAAGAGATTTCCAAACAGAGACCTCTTCTGAAAATTTCTTTACGTCTGTTTCCTAGCAAGGACTGAACTAGGGGTGGGGAAGGGTCAATTACCCGGAAAGTTCTTAAAATTTTTTTACGGCTATATGAAATTTGTTTTTTCATACTAAAAAACGTTTATATTTAATACAATATCATTAAATAAATTTAAAAATTTTGTTAACAACATATCTAGCATTTATATTAATATAATAATAATATTTCATAAAATATTAATTTTATGTTTGAATCATACTATAACTATTTTTACTGTAACCGTTACTCTCACCGAACAACGGTGCCGATCAGGTTACGGCGTTATAGTTTTTTATGTTTTTGAAACGGTAATGTCAGAAAACGTGGCAGCCTATAGAGAAGTGGTGCATGGATGTCACAACTCAAAAGCAAACGTGGCTGCTGGGAAGTTTCTAGCAGTTATAACTTTGAATGCTATTTGCAAAGTTTTTCCATTGGTTTTATAGCAGCACCGTTTCTTTTCTTTATAAAAGAGAACAAACAAATCAGTGGTGATTTCATATTTTCATTCATTCTGCTTGGTGATCACTGGTAGAAATCAACAGAGAGACAAAAAAAAAAAAGGGACAAGGCCCAGAACACAAGGCCAGAGATGACGCCCGAGTTGAGACTCAGGTCTTTCACTTCTCTCCCTTTTGCTTAATCATAAAATTTTCACATTTGCTCTATCTTTTAGACTTCTTTCCCAAGCAATATGAAGCTAGACGTTATTTCTTTAATCATTGGCCTCGGGAAGATGCAACATTTATGCTTTTTGGTTTAAATATACGTATGACAATGATGATTCAATAATGTTTCAAGAAGGGTCACTGTTCGTCTCTCGCACCAGAAAATCAAATAGCTAATTCCATTGGCTGTGTCAAATTTCAGGAAAGAGGGGAAATATTCTTCTTCTATAGGCTTCAAGTCAACAAGGAGGAAGCTCACAGCGTTCACGATGTGCCGCGCTTGTACATTGTGTTGCGGCCAGAGTCTGGTGAGAGACCAGTTGAAGAGAAGCAGGACCCCCACTCTGGCAAGGAGGGAACCAAAAAGAAGTTTGGTGAAAGTCAAAGTGGCTCGTGGAAGAATGAATATGAAGGTGGACAGGGGAGCCAGGTGAGATAAAAATGAAAACATCACGGCTGATTGGTAGAAGTTTAATTTTGAAGAAAAATGGCCATTTTAATATCAACTAGATGTTCAGTCTGTGCCATAGAATTCATTGTAAGTGTATTTAGTCTGTCTACTACACTGAAGATAGTAAATAATACAAGAAATTGTGACCAAAAACCAGGCTTGGAGAATATTATATTCAACTTTGCTTGTTAATTGAAAACCTTTTAATCACTTGTAGGAAGTAAATATTGAGAAGGAACCACTGTTACGGTTCATTGTTATGGGAAGGAAAAGTCTGCCAGATCCAGGCAAGAAGTCCCAACCCTTCTGGGGTTATGTTGAACTGGTGACAACAAAGATAGAAGATGTGAAAACTGCTCTAAAGGAGGTATTCATTTGCTACATGCATTGAATTTATTTTCCTTCTTATTACCTATGCAGAAGGTAAAAAGTTTGTGTTGCAGAGGAATATGATAATTCAAAAAGAGGTCACCGAAGTAAATTTCCTGCAAGAGCGGTGGGAGAAGGTGTTTACCGGATTGTGAGGCACAATTCAGGGAAGAACAAAATGCATACACATTTGATCTACAAACTTGAATTCCCACCAGAAAATGAAGAGAGTGAACCCCAAGAATCCCTCAACATTGAGCGTGAAGGCTCATTCGTGATTCAAATAAAAAACCCAGAACAACCTGGCAGTTCCCAATTCAGGGGACTTCAGAACAAAAGAAAGGCAGCATTCCCTGCTCACTTGCAAGGGCAGTTGGGGAAAAACCGGTATCATCCGGCTGACCCGCCGGACTTTCTGAACTATGAAGGATGTGAATTCCTGCTCATATCAGCCTCGGATGATATCAACAAGGTGTTGGGTTTGGAACTTGACACAGAAGAGGAAGCGGATCCATCTTGTTCAGATTTGGTCAGGACTTTTGGGGAGACTGCATCGACTACTCCCCTTTTTAAGGGAATTTAGGTGATACTCGTAAAATAGCTAACAATGACATTTTGCTTTCACTGTCAATGATGTAGCAACAAAGTAGATGATGAAATGTTATGTAAGGTTAATGCAATGGCATAGAGGCCTTGGCTATGTGCAGACTATAAGATCTGCCATTTTGTATATCGGATTCCACTTTTTGTATATGTAAATGAAGCTCAGTAAGTCTACCTGCTTAGCAGAAATGTTCAGAATAATTAAACGCTGGCATATAAATTTATTTCTATTTTTTGTTTTACAAATTTATTTTAGTTCTCAGATTAAAACTCATCAGAATTACTTATAAATATGGGATACACTAAAATCAAAACTTTTTGTTACAAAAAGTAAAGACAAATATTTGTTGAGAGAGAGACGGGTCAGGCTTGCTTCCACTATTTTTGGATCCAGTTATTTTTGTGAATTTTAAGTAAGAAACAGAAGAATTAACAGTCAAATACTTGGGATTTGAAGAAACAGAAGAAGCCACCTAAGCACTTAAGTAATTGACTTGTCCAGCTCAGCTTCTCAGCTATGAAACCCCCTTCCAGCTCAGCAACACAGCGACCGCCTGATCCTGCTCAACAGCTCCAATAACAGAACCCAACCTCCAGCCAGCTCAGCAACTTCATAACAGATTAACTAACTTTTGAATTATAAAAATTAAGCACAAAACACAACAATTCCTTCCCATTAAGAAAAAGCCTTGTCCTCAAAGCTGCAAGTTTGTAGATTAAAAAGAAATTCCCAGGTAGCATCCTCATGAAAAGAGTTGGTCGAGTGAACCAAAACCTGAGTTGTTGGTCTGTTACCTCTTTTGACCACTCTCGTCGGCAACGCTGCTAGAGGCTCAAAGGCAAGAGTGAACCCATGCACTGGCAGCTGAGAACCAACATTGCTAGAAGCTCCCACCTTTTTCTTTTAACTGAGAAACAAGGAAAACATGATGCAATTGAAACGTAGGAGGTAACTACAACTGCCCCTACATTGTGTTCTATCTGAAATGACCAGAAAAATACTTAGCAGTTAGGAGATAATGGTTGGATTATTTCAGTTAATGCATAATATTATAAATTTTTAAAAATTAATTTAAATTAAATTTCATTTGAAATCGATTTGATCAAAATTGAATTTTATCCATTTAGTTCGACTCATCAAACTTTTTTATTTTTATATTATTTTAATCTAATTTTTGTTGGGGATCACTATAGCTTTGATACTATTTGTTGGGCTAAAAGCCTCCAATCCAATCACACCAGCGGAAGCGAAATCAAACAATAAATCAAACACATAAGAGACAACAATTTAACGTGGTTCGATCCAACTGACCTACATCCACAGATGAGAAACAAGATCCACTAGTTGTAGAGAATTACAAACATACATCATATCATCAACCCCACTCAACAATCAATACTCATAAGACACTCTCAATCTCCTCTAGTCCTATGAAGTATTCTCTACCCAAACAAACACAAACCCAAACTCTTGTGCACCTTTTCAATACAACCAAACACATATCCATATGTTCCCATACATCATACCTATGTGGACCTAAACAAACACAAACCCAAACTCTTGTACACCTTTTCAATACAACCAAACACATATCCATATGTTCCCATGCATCATACCTATGTGAACCCTCTCAATCTCCTCTAATCCACTCACAAACAAACATACACACCCATAAGACATAGAGCCCCAATACTCCTATGGGATGTCTATCCCACAAAACCCTACAACTTTCTTACATTTTTTTCTCATACCTAATCCTGTAGAGACTTCACCTATTTATAACCATACAAACTTGCCCATTAAGAATCTCTTTCCTTTTATAATTCTTCTCTTGCAAGTCAAACTTACCTATTAAGAATCCTCTTTCTCTTGAAATTCTTCTTTTGTAAGTCTTCTTGTCCATCAAGCAATATCTGACAAATCCCAAACAAATCTGTTATGGGATTTGAGTCAATATTCTCAACAATTTTAATATATTTAAATTAATTTAAATATAAAATAATTATTTTTATTTTATAAAAATTAAAAAAATATAAAAATTAATAAAAACATATAACTAAGTTCAAATATTTTTTATTTTTTTACTTCCCGATATGAAAAATTAATCCGAAACTAATATATAAAAACATTTATAAAAATCAAAATCGAATCAATTAAAAAAATTAAATATAAATCAAATATTTCGATTGTGAATCAGTCCCTCAGTTTCTCTGCACTTCAACCATCAACTCAGTGAATATGCTAGAGACTACTATGACACAAAAGCTCACTACATTAATGTACAAAGGACAAGGCATCAGCTAGTGCATTCTTCTTTTCCTTATTATTGCTAATATCATAGGGAAGATAATCCTTTGCTGCAACAAGTGTTTCCGACTTCGGTGATCATTTTTAATACTAAAGTACCTGTTAGAAAGATAATGATGCCATTTGGTTACAACATACACCATTTGGTTACAACATACATTATGGTAAAGAATTCCCTATCATAAACTGAAAGGTTTTTTTTTTGCCAATATAAACTGAAAATCCACGATGTCTAGGAAATAAGGCCTTGCTGATGTAGCCAAGGGATGACCTCTTCTTTCCTCTATTTTCACATAATTTTTCATAAAATCCTTAATTAATGTTTTACATTTACGATCATTCTCCAAAGACATATAGATATCTTAAAGAAAATTCTTTTATCTAGAATCAAAAGTGTATCATTTAGCATTTCATATTTAATCGGTCATTTTTAATACGTATGCAATCACATCAAATTAATTCTTGGATCATGTCATTGACATTGATGATATACCTTTCAATATCATTATTGAATCCATTCAATAACGTGTCAATTCAATTGTTAGCTTTATGACTCTTAAAAATTATGCTTGTGTCCTTATACGATGGAAGTTCTCACAAAAACAGTCATAATTTTTTATAATAAAATGTGAGAAAAAAATAATGAATCTATGAGTTAACACAAGTCAAAAAATAATTAAGACTCATCTAAATTATTATTGTGTGATATGGCATATCAAAGTCAATCAAGGACAAAACAATTTTATAAAAAAAAAAAAAACTTAAAAAAAATAAAATTTTAAAAATATTTTTTAAAAAACAAGGGCATTGGAACGCTTGTTTTTTGTTTCAAAAAAATATATAAGGTATCTGAATGCCCTTACGGGCATTCAAATGCTTTTTTTTTTTTAGAAAATAACCATTAATTTTTAAAATTTTGCCTAAAGCATTTGGATGTCCTGAGTCGAGCATTTGGATGTCTTATCTAGAAATCGAAAAAAATCCAAATTGCAAAACATCAATGGCATTTGACTTAAAAATATCTAAGATTCATTATAACATTAATTATACAATAAAATTATGCAATTATGCATAATCTCCTATGGATTTTCGTAAGCATACAAGAAAATATCAAACAATTTCAACAAAGAACATGCAAAACAAACCAAAACCCAAGCTAACTTGGCTTTAATACCAATGAAAGATAATCCCATGCAAGATACATATGAACATAATAATATATGTTTACTTGTTTAGCAAAAGTGGAAGCGAAAGCCTGAGTTAAATTGTTAGTCATTGAACAAGATCATAATATGGAAGTTATTCATTTTTATAGCATAAATCTTTCAATACACCAAATGCAAAAATTCTTTTTGAGAGTTATAATCTATCGATCTCTCTTTCTTTTGTTTTCTTTTTTGTCTTGTGTTTTTCTTTTTCTTGTAAAAAGCTTTTTTCTCTAGTAATATTTTTGTTTAAATGGTCGAATGCCATATGACGTGTAGAGATATAAAAGGCGATAGTTGCATGGTAAAGAAACCATGCATAATTGCCCAAAGACAGTTCAATCCTAAGCAAAAAAATTGCTTTATAGGTGTAGCCAATTTACTTGTTACTTGGGTCAGGGATGAATCCAAGATTTTTAGTAAGTGGAGGCAAGTATTTTAACTCAACTTATTAAATTTTTCTTTGAAAATTAAATTAATACAAAAAGTTCTAAAGAAATTAACATGTATAACAATTTTTTCTTTAAAATATAATTTTTTATGCTATAGATATAATATTTGCATAGCTAAAATTAATTACATGGTTATTGACGAATACAACCTAAATACTATTATACCATAGATAAATAATTTTTTGACACACACGCCTATATATATTTATTTAATAAAGTTTTACTTATAGAATTTTTAAATATAGATATAATATGTGAAATAATAAAAATCAAAATTTTCATTTTTATTATTTACTTTCATTTTTTGTGCATTATAATGTGAAAAATAACAAATACTTATTTTCTCATATATAAGAAAAACAATATTATTTTATATACAATAAAAACAAGAATGAAGACATAAATTTATAAATTTATGTTAATTAAAGATCATTTTTTATTTTTTATTCTAATTAATTCACACTTTATGGGTTATCTATATGAACTCTACAAATTCTTTATTTGTTTTTCTTCAAAATTGATGTATATTATAACAAAATTGTTTATCACCCAAAGTATGGGGGCAAAACTGATCCTTAATTCAATGGGGGCTAATATGATAAAAAAATTTTAATGGGGGAAAATCTTGAAATTTCTAAAATTTATGAGATTTTTTTATAATAAATTTAAAGAATTTTAGAATTTCTCGGGACCCCTACGATTTCATATGTAAATCTGTCCCTACTTGGGGTGTTCGGAGCACTCATTATGCCTAGACCCAATCACTTGACTTACATATTGATACCAATTTAGGAGTAAAAAAATCATTTTAATTATTGAATTTGTGTGAAGCATTAACCATTAAGAGATAATTTTAGTCTATAATATAAATATTTAAATGCAAAATCATAATTTTATTATTAAAATAATAAACTATATATTAAAATAAAAATTTTGGATTAAGTTTCCAAATTACTTTGACTATTAAAATTTTGCCATAAGTCCCACTTGGCAGCTTACAAATACAAGAGTATCCTTTACAGGTAAATGTTTTTTAAAAAAATTTAAAACCAAAGCGGCCTATCTGAGGTTGTCATTCCTTCTATTTGATGTAGTGCACTAGTAATTTTAAAGAGTCATGAAACTTTGATTGCATAAATAAGAATCTTGATTTATGAGTGGTTTAGCATTGTGATTTTAAAAATTGTTTTTGTTTAGCTTTAGGCTGTTGGAATGACGAAAAAAGATAGATGAAAAAATAAAAAAAAATAGATTTTAAGAGTATTTGATTAGAAAGAAAAATGACTGAGAGAAAATAAAAAATTTATCATTTTTTATTTTCATTAATATAAATAAATCACTTTAAATTAAAAAATAAAAAACGTGTGAGCATATATTACATATTTATAAAATTATTTATCATATTTAGAATTTTATTTTTTATCTTAATTTATAAAAGATTTATAATGATAAAATCATGTAATTTTTACCCTCTTTAATTTTACTTTTTAATTTTATCAAACAATGAGCAAAAAATTACATTTAAAAATCTTTTTTATCTTTTCAATCAAGCATATTAATTAAAAATATATATTTTTCGTCTTTTTATTTTTTTTTTATTTTTTTACCCTATCAAGCAAAGCCTTATTGTTAAATAAAAAAAAAGAGTTTCAATTTGAAAAATTGATTTTATGATTTTGCAATCCAAACTGAAAGGATGGTTAAAAAGTGTTTCATGGTAAAAAAAAAAAAACAGATTTTTTGCGGTCCGAAAAGCTAATTATTTTGACTTTGCTCAGTTAATCTCGTTCCACACGCAACGTTGTACTGGCCACCTTCACCGTCGCATTCGCCTTCGCCGCCGGCACCACACTGCATAGCCGCCACATTCCAGTAATCTTCTTTTCCCCTTACTTTTTCTTCCTGGTTTCCACTTTATCTAGCATATATTTTCTTTTCTTTTTAATAGCAAATATCTTTGCTTTCAGCTTACTTGTTTCAGAGTAAATTCTGTCAGAAGCTTGGGCTTCTCTAGGGGTGTTAAAGAAAGTTCTGCTTATGTCCACCAAATCCTTCTCAATTCACTGGAATTTCAAATCCCTGTTTCCAAATACCTGTTTTCTCCAGTTTCCTCGCAGATGCTCTGCCAATGCTCTACCACTATCCTTCTCTCACTACCAAAGAATCCATTCCCCCAAGCCATACCTTCCTCAACCTCCATTGGCTCAACCCAATCCCAGTAACCAAACTCCTCGTGATATAACACAAGCCCAGGAATCCGTTTCCGAGTATCTCCAAGAACTGGGGATTTCCTTTGAGGAATCCATTTCCATAGCTTCTAATTCCCCAAAGTACACGCAAATGCTAGTGGATGGTGTTAAGGAACTGGAGGAATGGAATGCTTGGAATAATAATATTGAAGGAGAGAATTTGGGGTTTAAGGAAATGGTCATTTATATGGCCAAGGAGAAGGGTGATAATGGCAAAGTTGCCTTTTTGGAGAGTGCGGGTCTGTCTCTCGCTTCTGCAATGGGTGTTGCGCGTTATTTGTCTTCAGAATCTCTTCCCAGTTTAATTCATAAGGTTAGCAAGCAAGCTCTTTAAGTTTATTTGTATCTGTTTTCACTCTCTGTTTGGTTTGTAGTACAATAATGTATTCTTGATGATCTATCTTTGAAGGAAAAGAAGATACTAGGAAATTCTAGATGCAAATTTATGTTTTATAGGCATTATATGAATCGTGCTTGTCCTTTTGAAGTGGATTTTATTTAGCCTTGAAAATATTACAAGCTTTGAAAATGAGGAGTTTCATGACGCAGCTAGAACATCACTCTTTAATTTGTTTATATCACCACAGAAGTTGGCAAATTGAAATAGTGATTAATGTTACCCTAGTGAGCTCTCGGTTTGGAGAAATGTTGTGGATCTCATAATGTAGGAAATGATGGAATATATTCAGTTTAGATGATATTTAAGACATAATTACATGTTTTCTTATTACTCTTGCACTTTGGCAATTTTCTTTTCTTCAGCTTATTTGTTGAGTTATTTAGAAGTCTTCATATTGATGAATCTACATAACTTGTTAGAATAAGGGAGTTTACTTACTAGATTTGACATGTCTAACCTACTACTGCCTTTGGTTGTTTTAACATTCTTTACAAAAGCTCCATCTTTTTTTTTTTGTAGAAAGTCATGGTCTAACATGTTGGTATTCTTACCAGACCCATGGTACAAATTCCTTTAGAAATTGGCCATAGCTTTGTTCTTTTTGTAACCCTAAAGATCCTTTGGTAGAATATGTGCTTGTTCCTCAAATGTAGCTCAGTGCTAACTTTCAAACATTTTGCTTCATGTTAAATAAATGCTCTTTGTTTGTGTTTTTAAGCTTTTATAGATATTATATCTTGTTGATATATTTGAAAATTATAACTTTTTCTCCATTCTGATCAGGCAACAATAATATGATTCTTTTCTTTCTTCAAATGGGTTCTGCTACTTTTGTGAATTTACTGAAATGAGCTCTTCATCTAAATTTGTTGGCTGGATTCATTGCTTATTTTTTATTTGGCTTTTAGGTTAAGTATATGAAGGAAATAATCTTTTCTAGCAGTGATGATAAAGGGCTAAGTGGGAAAAATGCTCGCCGAATGATGATGCACTTGTCAATTGCTTCTGATGAAGATGTGCAACAAACCTTATCCTTCTTTGAGAAGGTATAATATGACTTCCATTCTTCTTTTACTGTGTACATGAAGTTATATCATGTTTTTCTTGCACAATACTTTTTATCATTTTCTTCTGTTTGCCATTTACTTTACAACCTGCATTTCAGTTGCATAATCATTTGCTTCCTGTTTTGACACAGTTTATGAATATATGGTGCAGATTGAAGCAAGAAGAGGTGGTATAGACATGTTGGGCTCAGTAGATGCAAGTTTAAGATATCTGTTGGAATCGTTTCCACGTCTTTTATTGTTGCCAGTGGAGTCCCATTTGAAACCTATTGTTGAATTTCTTGAAAATATTGGAGTTCCAAGGAGATCTATGGGAAAAGTATTTTTGTTGTTTCCACCAGTCTTGTTTTACAAGATTCAGGGCATCAAAACAAAAGTTTTGGCTTTCGAAAAGGTACTGTTCATATTTTAAATCAAGGTATCATTTAGCCTAGTATTATTGTGGCATTCACAAAAGCAATGAAAAAGAACCTTTATTTGATGGATGCTATGTTGTTTATTTTTTAATATGACTATATCTTGTTTTCCCTTAGCAAAGTTTCTTTTTATGAATTTTCTTCTAGGTTGGTGCAACTTATGAAGATGTTAGGAAAATGTTGCTAAAATATCCATGGATTCTTTCAACAAGCATTCAAAAAAATTATGAGCAGATCCTTTTGCTTTTTGAGGAAGAAAAGGTATAATGACTTAATGGCCCAGCTTGCGTATATTCATGTGGTTTATTGTTTTCATGGTTTATGCCGTGGTTGAGTTGTGATTTCATCAAGATGTTTATGGTTTGCTTACTGGAGGTGCTAATGTTTTGTTAGTTATTTGGAAGGTTGCAATGTTGTCCGATAAAATATAATAACCAGGAACTCAATTATCAAAATTTAGTTTCTAAAACAAGAAATTATTGGAGAATAAGATACTCCTTAAGTTGCATTGCATTAGTTGTCTGAGAATGTATTCTTAAAGCCACAGGCAGTTTTATTTTGTTTACTGCTCTTTATTATTATTATTATTCAATTGGGCAAGTAACTATGTTTCTGTCTGGTATCTAAAGTGAGTGTTCTGTATCATTGCATACCTCCAAACATAATCAACCTTTATAAAGCCATAAACTTGGTTAGACAATTGTATTCTTTTGTCAATGCCTCAATCTGCTTATTTTGTTTCCTTATTCTCTTAAAGTTTCTCTTATTTGAATTGGATAAGTTATCATATTTGGTTTCAGATACCAAAAGCAAGTGTTGACCGGGCAATTAGAAGCTGGCCTCATTTATTGGGTTGTTCAACAAGCAAGCTAAAGTTGATGGTGGATCAATTTGGTGAATTAGGTGTTAGAAACAAAAAGTTGGGTCGGGTTATTGCCAAAAGCCCCCAACTATTATTAAGGAAACCTCAGGAATTGCTCCAGGTAGGTGGTTGTACGTTTTTGTCTTTGTTCTTGAGTTACACTTTTTACCTTTTATTTGTTCCAGTTACTTCATTCTTCACTCCCATCTCTGAATGTTGTATCACCACTTAAAAGAATAACTAGCTTTAAAATAGCTCTAACAGGTAATCTAGGTCACTTTTACTAATCTTTAATATAGCTCTGACAGGTGATCTAGGGCACTTTTACTAATTCAATGTATATGTTTAAAGGAATTGACATGCAGTATGGTTATACCACTCTGCTGGCATGATGTGATCCAAATGCCCATTGTCTCATACTCTTTATTGGTTGCTCTTTGACAATGCTGTTTCTGAGGACGCTTCTTTCTTGTATTTTGTCTTCAATAATGATTAATTAAATTGTAACCATTCAAAGAAATAAATTCCAACTATCCCAGAAAAGAAAACCTGTCCTTTTGAAAGGTATCCATCCTTTTTCTAATGCTATGTAATCTAGTTTTCTTCCATGTCAGAACTATTTGAAATTTAATCATGCACCAAACTAACAGAGACATATATATTATTGGGGCAGAGGAGGTGATGTCACCTCTGGCTTTTCTCTCCTTTTTTTTTTTTTTAAACACACTTTTTTTATGTGTTATGATTGGCAGCCTTTCATCTAACTTATTGGCTATAACTAGTTTTCATAGACCACAAGCACCAGCTTTTTGTTGGTTTCTGGATGTTAGGGGTGACTATAGGGAGTCCAAGTCTGCTAATTTTCAGTGTTCAAGAGATTGGCTGACTTGTTTCTTGAACTGTCTAATCTTGTTTGCGAATAGCTAAGATGACTCTTGTGAAGTACAACTTGTATCTCTCCAAAGTCGTCAAAGAGACTAGCTCTGAAGTGTTCAAATCAACTATGAAAGTGAAATTGTGGCATTGAATCCTTCTAAGTTTGAAATCCAGAATTTATTTATTTATAGTTGCAACCAATGAGTTTGAATTATGTTGCTCCATCTTTTAATTTGTTCTATTGTTATTCTTCTTTATTTTCTTTTATAATTTTAATGCATTTCTCTTTTCACAGGTTGTTCTATTTTTGGAAGGTCTAGGTTTTGATCGGGAAAATGTAGGGAAGCTACTTGCTCGCTGTCCTGAAATTTTTGCTGCCAACGTTGATAAAACTCTGAAGAAAAAGGTTGAATTCCCTGCACAGCTTGGTATTTCCAATGACCACCTTCCTCAGGTCATCAAAAAATATCCGGAGCTTTTCGTGTCTGATGTGGACAAAACTTTGCGTCCTCGGTTTGTTTCTATTAAAGCTCTCTTTTCTATTAGCTCTTTGACCTGACAAGATCACACAAAATGAGTTTAATGTCAATGCCCATGCCCTTCTAATCTTGAGGTGCAGTATGTTGAACCAAATATTTGGAATACCAAGTGTTTGATAGTAGGAATGGATTTAAACTAGTTATCTAGAGTTACTCTTTCCAGCCAGGAAAGTTGGATAACATAATTTGAGTTGGAAATATAAACATTTAGCTTCGTGATCAGAACTAAATTTGTTAAAGTTACAGATTATGCAGTTGTTCTGTTGGAACTGAATCTGGCGGTTTTGTGAACAGCATCAAGTACTTGATGGAGATAGGACTGTCAAAGAGGGAGATTGCTTTAATGGTCCGTAGGTTTTCTCCATTACTAGGATACAGCATTGAGGAGGTATTGAGACCCAAACTCCAATTCCTTTTGGACACCATGGGTAAGCCCGTAAAGGATGTTGTGGACTATCCAAGGTTCTTCAGTTATTCATTGGAGAAGAAAATAAAACCCAGATTCTGGGTTCTCAAGGGAAGAAATATTGAATGTAGCTTAAAAGATATGTTAGGCAAAAATAATGAGGAGTTTGCTGCTGAGTTTATGGGTGTTGGAAGGAGGCTTGATTCTCCATCCTCACATCAATGAATTGTTGTAACATTGAAGTGTTTTGTAAATGGTGGATTTATAGCCAATCTGTTGAGCACATATCATCACATTTTGCCATTGAGCAGAGTTGTGTTAAAAGTAATTTTTGTGATTACATGTTACAATTTTGATTGTGAGGATCGAGGGCTATTTAGATTTTGAATTCTGAAGCAGAGCTAGATCCAGGCTCTGAGGTTCATTGGAAAATGTTTGATCACATGCTGTGTCACGAACTAAGTTTTTTCTCAATGAAATAATAATTCTGTGGTATTTGAATGGATTATTTTAGTCAAGATAACTCGAATATTTGAATAAGCAACAAGCAAATTATAATTTAGTTTAAGGGACACAACGATATGGCAGGCTGTAATGGGTGCATACCATGTCGATCATTAGAGCCCTCGGAAGAAAAAATATTTTATTAATAAGAGAATAATGATTACAAAGGAGCATTGGGTTTTCCATCATTATTAAGTTCAAGATCAGAAGGACAATCCTAATTGGATAGCCTACAACGTATCTTAATTAGTGACATAGCCCGACAATTCATCAATTATTCACCTGCTTTGAAAAGCAAAATAACTCTTAAAAGTGTGCTACAAGGAACCATTAAAATGACTGAAATTGGGATTTTTTTCCTAGTACATAAGATCTATCCTTGTAGCACTTTGTACAAGATTGGTTCATGCATCCTATAGCTAGTTATGGCCTTATATAAGATTGGATTGTGGCATCCTTCCCCACTCATCTATTGACATTCTCATTGATTTGGTGGCTTCAAATTCTTCAGTTTTTTACTTGAAAGCTCGTAGATCATAGTTTCTCTCTCAATTGATTTTTTTTGGTCTTAAAGCTCTCCCACTTGAATAGGTAATCACGGATTGGCCTTCAAAACGCTATGGTTACCCTATAAGCTAGAATTTCTTCAATTCAATGTTCATATGGCGGCTTTATATTGGTGGCAGCCCTGGTTGCCTTACTACAGCTTGCATATTTGACACTTGCGTGGTAAGGTTTTAAGTTGCTCACATTAAATACCTAGTGCAACTTCATCAATTTTGGCAGGTCAATCTTGTAAAAGGCATTCCCCACTTTGAAAAGGATTGTCATTGGACCTTCTTGCACACCAATCTATGATCCTACTTTTGTAGGAACCTAAATTGCTCAAGCACTATCCTAACAAGCACAAGGTCATCAACCATGAAATATTATGCCATTCGACCCTTATCTACCCATTTTTCATGTGCTTTGATACCTTTTCTAAGTATGTTTTCACAATCTCTATGTTCTGTCTCCATCCTTGGTAAGGTTGAAGGCTAGTGTACTTTCCCCTTTATAAGACTTGAGGAAGGCGTGAGGCAACCTCTTTTCAAAGGGGCTATTTTTGGTAGAAGAACTCTTATTGGAATTAAAACAAAACTGAGCCATGTCCAACAATAGAGGCCAATTTTTTTGATTCGCTTGCACAAAGTATCTCAATTACTTCTTTAATAATCCATTGAATTGCTTAGTATAACCATTTGTTTGCAGGTGATATCTTGACGAGATATTAAGTAAAGATTCCAACAACTTCAAAAGTTTTTTCCTAAATGATCTTGTGAATCTCGGATCCCTATTATTGATAATATTTTATGAAATATCCTAATACTTGACCACATTCTTAAAAATTAGGTGACCCCATGTCTTCCGTAATAAAATAGTTTTGGGCAAGAATAAATGTTGCATACTTTGAGAAACAATCAATCACTATCGGAATAGACCCAAAATCACTGACTCTAGAAAGACCCGATATGAAGTCAAGTGAGATACTTTTTGATTTGGTTAACCTACAAGTGCACAGGCCGTACAAGTAATAATAGTGACCTCTTAGTCAAGATATCATCTTATAGAAATTAGGTAAAGAAATTCTTAAGCTAAGTATTTATTATCACCCTACCCTTCTAAAATTGGCTTAAATCACCTAATGAATACAAAATCTAACTATGAAAATACAAGCAAATAAAGCATAAAAAATGTAAGACTAAGTAGATGAAAAAAATGAATAAGAATAATAAATACATGAATGCTATAAAATGTAACATACAGTAGCTAAATCAAAGTAAAAACAAATTTGAAGTAAAAATGATGTGATGAAAATGCAAAATACAACTAAATTTGCAAAATTTGAAAAACCGAAAATACAAAGCTACTCTAACTAAACCATGACTTCTATGCTAAAGTGAACGCTAAATGACAAATAAGGTAAACGAACTAAAGCTTAAATATGAAAAATCACATAGAGAACTGGATTAAAAATAGGTTTGGAATTCAAATGAAAAACAAAAAGTGCAAAAATTCAAAGAAAAGGTTGAAATTGTAACTAACTTTGCAAATTTGAAAAATTAGATTTCAAGCTACTGTTTTATCTCAAGAATGGAACATGATCAAATGAAAACAAGCTATAAATTCAAAGATCAATCAAAGAACATCATGAAAAATGAATTTGAAAAGCAAAGGATAAAGAAAAACTGCAAAATGCAAGAAAGATCACAAACCAAAACTAACTAAAATATGTTAACCGCATTTAGATTTAAGTAATTTTGATCTAATTGATGCTAAAGTAAATGATCATGAACTAGAATTGGAAAGATCTCTTAAGGAACTAAGAGGAAAATTGATTGGAAAAACAAAAAAAAAATGCAAGAGCGAACTAAGAAAAACCAAAACAAAATTTAAAGTTCCATCCTAAACTCACTGAATTGATAAGAAAAAAATAGATCTAGAAACCTATGCTGAAAATGAATTTAAAGTGAGCTAAGGAACAATTAACCAACAAGTTTACTATAAAATCCAGTAAGAAAATTGTAACAAAATATAGAAAAACTAGCTCATTGAACTAGTTACTTAAGATCTACATAAAATAGAGAAAAATAAAGCAATAAATGAACAATTCATCCAAATAGCCATCAAACTCATGAATTAAATTGCAAAAAAATGAAAATAAGCAAGATAACAAGTAAATCTAATAGATCAATGGTTGGAAGAAGCAAACAAATCACCTAAAGGAGAAATGAATCCAAGCCAAACTTGTAGATCACGTCAAGGAATTTCATTGCCACCTTATTCCAGCTGCAACTTGTAAAAATTAACTAGAATGATTAGAAATGAAGATGTTATGGATTAAAGCCTAATGAGTTACAAAAATATGAAAAAAAATGGAGTAAAAACAAGCAAGAAATCAAGGAGTTTCAAACAGATCATTGAAGCTAGGTGAAGTGCATGGATTCAAATCCAAATTTGAGATCAATGAGAAATCGACTACATTTAAACTTGAAATCATAAGAATTTCAAAATTCATTGTGAAAATCTTAAACAACATTGAAAAACACTTTAGGAAACATAATTTTGCAATTAAATTCAATAAGGAAAATTGAAATCTAAGGCTATTTGGCAAGAAAGAAAATAAACCTGTAGGAAAAAAATGCAAAAAACTAAATGAATAAAAAAATTAGAATCCTAATCAAAAGTCTCCAAAAATGGCCGGTTTTCCTCTTATTTATGAGTAAATGAGTGATGCTTTAATTCTCTCGAAAATATCTAAGGATAATGGGTCTTTTAGATCCATTTTTTCTCTTTAATTCATGGCTTGCTACATGGTTTCAAAGTTGGTGCAAGGTGTTTGATGCCTCAAATTATTATTCCTCTTGCATTCTGCCAGTCCAAAAAGTCCACATTATGGCCAATGGAAGTCCTCCTTACTGCCAACTTAGCAGCTCCTAAAGACCTCCTTTGAATGCCTAAAGAATGGTGCCACAACATGTGATCCAATGAAAATTCATTCCAAGCCACCAACTAGCATTTTAGCATTCCATCTTTTGGCGCCTATTTTTGCAACTTTCCCCTTCATTTGGCTACCAAAAATTGAAGTCATTAAATGAGCAAATTTCACATTAAAATCACTAGCAAAATTATGGAAAATTAAAAATTAAAAAGAATTAGCTTCTTTCTACACTAATACACTTAATACCTTTTAAATATGTATAAAGATACTGCAAAGGTAAGAATGTACTAGTGAGCTACAAATAACATTTCTAAATGAATAAAATAAAGAATAAGACTTTGAATAAAGTTCCATGAAGTTCAAATAAGCTTAAGAAATCATAGAAGAAAGGATAAAAGAAAAACTCCCTTAAGAGGTAATGTAGCCAGGGAATTAAATAATGGCACAATGGTGAAATATTGGCCAATATTTGATGGTAATACTGCCACCCACCAATCTTGTTTAAGAAAAAATAGCCTTGAATTTGAATCACAATCAAAACAGTAAGTTATGGCCATAAAAGAACGGTGGGAATAGTAGTCCATTATTGTTGCTATCCCTATTTTTTGTCCATAGTTCTAAATTGTGCAAGAAAAAAGAAATCAATAGAAATAATAGTCATATGCCAACTAAAATCACATCAAAAATAAAAACCAATAATTCAATTCTTAGCAGAACTTATAAAAGTGAGAAAGAGAGGAGCAAAGGGCCAAAAAGGTAAAGACTTTTACGAGTGTGTCGATTAGGATAAGGGATTTACTAATTTACTTGTTTTGGGTTATATGGGTTTGGGTATTTCTTTGTGTGTGTGTGTGAGACAAAAAGCAAAACTATGGCAAGAGAGTGATTGAGAAAAGATGAAGAATTAGTGAAAATTGAATAAGAAGAAAAAAAAATAGGATGAGCGAAGGCTGAAGGGTGTATATGTGTGTGGCAGAGGCTAGATGTCACGGACTAAGCTTTTTTTCAACAAGCAATAGACCGTGCGACACTTGAATAGAAATTTCCACCCAAATCAGCCTTCAACAGTTCAATAGCTAAACAAATAACCATAAGCCATGGTTAGTCCCAAGCATTCACAATAAGGCACATTATATCGAGATCAATCTCAAGCACACACACAAGAAGGCACATTCACATCGAGAAAAAAAAGAAAACACATCGAGGCAACACTCAGGACATTCAATTGGGATGGATTTTATTATAATCGAGAATCATACATCGGGACTTCTCACCATCACCAGGGCCAGGGGGCAGCCCTTGGTGGATGGCCTAGGCCCGTA